TTGTTTGCTTATCGTGAGGTCCCACAAGAGTGCACTGGTTTTTCGCCGTTTGAGCTGTTATATGGAAGAGCTGTTAGAGGACCAATGACCATACTCAAACAGCTGTGGACGAAAGAAGTTGAGGAGCCTGAAGTGAAGAACAGTTACCAGTACGTTTTCGAGTTGCGAGAGAAGTTAGAAGATACCCTTAAACTCGCCCATAGTGAATTGGAGAAAGCCCAGCAGAAAGGAAAGCACTATTACGACCACAAGTCTAAAGTTAGGAAGTTTCAACCAGGTGAGAAAGTGCTTGTGCTGCTACCTACCGACCATAACAAGTTACTTATGCAGTGGAAAGGTCCCTTTGAAGTTAGTTCAGTAGTAGGTCTCAGTGACTACAAAGTGAAAGTAAAAGGCAAGGAGAAAGTTTACCACGCTAACCTACTTAAAAAGTATTTTGAGCGAGAGGAGACTACAGTCGAAGGAGCAGTAGCTGTTGGAGCAGGCGCTACGATTATAGACAATGCTGTCGACTGTGCCGCTAAAGTTGATGAAGCAGAGAAAGAAGAGGTTGATTTCTTAGAGCTTGGTGGATATGTAGCTAAGGAGTCGATTGAGGATGTTACAACTGGACCGAATCTTACGGACGAGCAACGAACTGAATTTAAGGATCTGGCTAAGCAGTTCACGAATTTGTTTACTAAAGCGCCAGGTACCACAGACCTCGTTCAGCATCATATTAAACTCACCTCAGATAAGCCAGTTAGATCAAAACCTTACCCTGTACTTTACAGCATGAGAGAATCACTGAGAAAAGATATTGCCGACATGATCAAAATGGGAGTTATTAGAGAGTCCAGTTCTCCGTATGCATCACCTGTTGTAGTAGTGAAGAAAAAAGACAACACAAACCGCGTGTGGGTTGATTATCGGAAATTAAATAAACTAACTGTATTTGATCCTGAGCCTATGCCAACCGCTGAACACTTGTTCCAGAAGCTTAGTGGAGACAAATTCTTTTCAAAAATTGACCTTAGCAAGGGATACTGGCAGATATCTATACCAGAGGAGGACATTCCGAAAACTGCGTTCATAACACCTGACGGGTCGTACGAGTTTTTTTAGATGCCATTCGGAATGATTAACTCGGCGGCAACACTGAAGCGTGCAATGAAGAAATTGATAGAAGATCTAGACGATGTCGACTTCTACTGGGATGATATATTGGTTCACACCCGTACGTGGGAAGAGCATATTAGAGCCCTCAGAGAGCTGTTTTCGCGCCTTGCACAAGCTGGGTTGACTATTAGACCTACGAAGTGCCTATTCGGAGTAAACAGTGTGGATTTCCTAGGCCATCGATTGGAGCAAGGGATGATTGGTCTATATCAGGATAATGTGGAGAAAATTAAAGATGCCCCAAGGCCAAGCACAAAGAAACAGGTGCGGTCATTTATGGGTCTAGCAGGATACTACAGAGATTTCATACCCAACTTCGCAGCGATCGCAGCGGCCTTATCTGATCTCACACGGAAAGCCCAACCCAATAAAGTTCAGTGGGGTGAAGCACAAGAGAAAGCCTACCAAACAATCAGATCCTACCTAACAAGTGAACCTATCCTACGTCTTCCCGATCCAGCTGAAACCTATTTCTCACGGACGGAGGTTTCCAACAATGGAATTGGTGCGGTATTGATGCAAAGGCACGAAGAGAAATTATTCCCGGTTTGTTATGCAAGCAAGAAATTGTCAAGTGCGGAGCGAAACTACTCTACAATGGAGGAGTGTCTAGCGATTGTATGGGGAATCAAGAGATTTTATCTATATTTGTACGGTGTACCGTTTGTGCTGCAGACAGACCACGAGCCGCTAAAGTACATGGACAGTGCAAAATATACCAACGCACGACTCATGTGATGGGCGATGTTTCTACAAAGTTACAATTTCAAGGTGGAAGCCATAAAAGGATCAGAGAATGTTGGAGCGGATTATCTTAGTCGAGTGGAAGAGTAACGTGAGAGACACTGGACTACCCCCGTTGTATATTAGCTTACAATTTTTCTACTGTATTGGAAATTTAGGAAATTTCTTCTGAAAGGGGGTTATGTTACAAAAAATTGTATTGCGTGACTAGCGTGGCTTTCTAGTAGGTTTGCAAGAGTTCATAGCTTGTTTATTTTAGGATCTTGTGTAAGCGTTTCTAAAAGTGGTATATTTTGTAATCTTTCTATAACTGGACTATTTGGAAAGTTCTAGAATCTTATTGTGAAAGTATATAAGTAGGCGAGTGTGAGTTAAGTTTTAACTTGTTTTCACAAGCGAGGAGAGTTTCACGTTAGTCGTGTTTAGTCGAGTGTGACGAAGGTAGTGTTTATTCAAGTTGGCGGGGGCCGTGTAAGTTTATCAAGTTAATTCAAGTTGGCCGACGCCGTGTAAGTTTAACGAGTTACGTGCTGTTGTAGAGTTTTACTCAGTGGAAACTACGTTCATTTTTGGAATAAATCTTCTTGTTGCTGTTCAGACAACACTGCGTTCAGTTTAGTTTGCAAGCTACCCGTCCTCTAAAAGATTACTCACGTAACAATGGCTTGGTAGGTGGAGAGCTAATGGCGCCTCCCCAATAAGCCCCAATAAGGGTTAATAAGCTTAAGATCTTAGGGGTTTATTTTTCGAACGGACTAGTAAATGTTGATGAAGATAATTGGCGTTGCAAATTAGATAAGTTAAAGAGAACTTTAGGGCTGTGGTCGCAAAGAGATTCTCCTTTCTAGGCAGAGGCATGATTCTAAACGTTCTTGGGGCTAGTAAATTTTGGCATGTTGCCAAAGTACTGTCCCCCCCCCAAAATGGGTTTCTGTTGAATACAAGCGAGCTTTTTGGCCTTTTATCTGGAAATCAAAATCTGAAACTGTAAGCCGAGCGCGTTGCGTGGCCCCCATCGCGCAATTAAAGTTCAATACGCATTGAAAACTTGGGGATACAAACTTAAATCTGATAAGTGTGCTTATTGTTCCCAAGTTGAAACAATTGAGCATTGTTTTCTCTTTTGCCCTCGCGCGCACGCTGTGTGGAATTATTTTATGTCCTATCTGTCTCGTCTTTCTACTTCCCCTTTTTCTGTTAACCCTTCTTGTGTTTTCTTTCCTTTCTCGTCTCGTGCTTCTTCGCCTTCTTTCTCGCTCTACTGTTACTTGATTGCTACAATTTTATTTTGGATTTGGCAGACTAGAAATCTCGCAACTTTTCGAAATTCTGTCTTGAATGTTAACCAAATCGTTAACCTGATTAAGAAAGATATCTCCTGCCGTATTTTATGTGCAAAACAAGATGAAAAAGAAAATTTCTGGTCTACTGGTAACGTTCTTTGTAAGATTTCTGATGCTCACTCTATTCTTTTTTCCCTTACTGTTCATAACCTTGTATTGTATATAGTCGCTTTTAATTTTAGTTTGCTTTATTTCGCTGGATATCTTTGTACATAGCCGCTTTTAAGTTTAGTTTAGCCGTTTTGCCTATGAACATTTAGCCGATCGCTTTGTATATAGCCGCTTTAGCTTATTTAACTTGCTTTGTTTTCCTGGAAGCCTTGTAAATATTTCCCGGAAATCTTGTACATGGCCGCTCTAGTTAATTTGCATTAGTTCCCGGAAGTCATGTTAATATTTCTCGGAATTCTATACATAGCCGCTCTACTTAACTTAATTTGCATTAATTCCCGGAAACCTGGTAAATAGTTAGCGTTAGTTTAGTTCCTTTTTTGTTTTTGTTTCCTTTTTGTAAATACGATGGAGTTGGTCTTTCAATAAAACACCCCTGCGGCGGTTTTTATATTCTTGAAAAAAAAAAATCTTACGCCATTAGGGCTTTAGTTTTTTCAGAGTTGTGGTTTTTTTGTTTTAGAGGGCTTTGCCCCCTCTCAAAATTCTTTTTGTTTCGAAAGCGATTTCCCACGTGTTTTCACGCGAGGAGCACGTGCTACAAGGATGGCTACGAATGCCGGGATAGATGCTTCCCCTAGCGCAGTTGGTGTTGGAGAATCTTGTGAAGATGTAGTTGTTATCGCTCGTGGGGCCGAAACCCCCAACAAATCAGTTCCAGTTCAGTCCTTTTTGTCCGTTGTTGCAGAGAAAAATGTGAGTTCCGTTCCTGTTGTCGTGAGATATGAAAATGCTTTGCCTAACCGGCCTTTGACCGCCTTTTTTACACCGCAAGTCCGTCTTCCCGCCTCCGATGTGTTTACAGCGCTGAGAGAAGCTAATGTCGATAGTAGTGATGTGTCATGTCTCCAACGTACTAGCAATGGTCAAGTCGTCTTAACTTTGCGTAGAGCTGAGTGTAAAGAGCAGTTTCTTTGTAAAAGTGTTTTGAAAGTTGGTAATACACTGTACGCGTTACAAGATGTTGGTCGCCCATTAACATATCTTCAAGTTTATGACGCACCGCACGAACTACCGGACCTTGCAATAATTCGACGCCTTTCGCAGTACTGTGATGTTATCTATCACCGCTGTGGCCATTTCACTCAAGCCGGCTGGGAACACGTTCATGATGGTGCTCGTCACTACCGTGTTCGCATCAAACGCCCCGTCCAGAGCTTTCTAAGATTTGATTGATACTAAGTGCAGTTTTGTTATGTTGGTCAGCCCCGCACATGTCGCCTCTGCGGACAAACAAATCACCTGGCCTCTGCTTGTCAAACTATTACCTGTTTTAACTGTGAGAAGTCCGGCCATTTGGCTTCTGACTGTCCATGCCCTGTTTACTGTAATATTTGCAAGTCACCAACTCATCGAGCATGTACTTGTCCTTTCTCTTGGTCGCGTTTGGTCGATTTTCCCGCGTCAACTTCTGAATCAGCACCTTTGAACACTGAACATTCTGAACACTCTGAGAACACTGAATCTACCGAATCTACTAACTCTGATAATGCTACAACTGATTCAAACGCTGATATTTCTGATCCTGTTTTGGACAACACGCCTACTGATCAACCTTCGGACCAACCTTCGGAAACTTCTCCAATGGATGATGATTCTCCGACCATCGAAGAAACAACAATGGATCAAGACTCTAGCAATTCTACTATCCAGGACTATGCCAGTGCTTCTGAGGAAAATACCATGGAACTGATTACCGAGCCGCAATCATCATCTCACTCCGCTGGGAGTGGCCGTAAACCCGCGAAAATATTAGATGCCTTCATTCCTTTCCACAAACTGACTGCTCCTACTTTGGTTACTAGCAAACCTGTACGTGAACACACTCCAGACTCTGACGAACTTAGCCCTAAGCCTAAAAAACCAAACACTAGCCGCACGAATAAGCATAAGAATGGTAGGAAAAAATCGTGATTTATTTGATTTGTTTTCCTTATTTTATCACTGGACTTTCTAATTCTTAAGATCTCTGCCTTTATTTGTCTCCTTGCCGCGTTTTAACTCCTTAATTTAAAACATTCAGAACGAATCTTACTACTTAGAATATTCGAGGTTTTGGCGACGATGCCAAACAGCGCGCTATTTTTGACTTTGCAAAAAATCACACACTGATTTTGTCTGCTTGCAAGAAACTTTAGTGAGCGATTCTCTGATTTCTGCTTTCCATTCTAAATGGAAAGGTCCTAGTTTTTGGTCTCCAGCCTTGGGTAAACAAGGCGGAACTGTTATTCTAGTTCGCGAAAATTCTTGTTTTGAAATAAAAAAGTGGCAACGAGACTCTTCAGGCCGTATTGTCAGTATTTTGGCGAGTCTAGGTGAACTTAATTTTAATCTTGTTATTATCTACGCTCCTACAAATTTAATTGAACGGAAATGGTTCTATGAAAATTTTCTAGACCATGTAAACATTACCAATGAGACCGGTATCTTTGTAAGTCTCGATCAAGAGAAAGCTTTCGACCGTGTTGACCATACTTTTCTACGTCGCACCTTAGAATGTTTCGGTTTTGGTCCCAGTTTTTTACGGTGGATTTCCACCCTATATCATGGCGCGTCCATGAAAATTATAGTTAATGGTTTTTTAACCGAGAAGATTTTTCTGAAGAGAGGAGTGAGTCAGGGTGACTCGCTGTCCCCCCTTCTCTATATTATATGTGCTGAAGTACTAGCACAGAGCATTCGTAACCATACTGGTATTCAAGGTTTTCTCTTTCCTGGTGCTAACATCTATTTCAAGATAAGACAATATGCAGACGATTCTACTTGCTTTGTTAAGGACACCTGCTCATTACAAAATTTATTTTACCTGTTACGGAAATTCAAGAGAGGTACTGGTGCAAAACTTAATTTGAGTAAGACCGAAGCCATGTGGCTGGGTGCTTGGCGATCTAGACCTGATACCCCCCTGGGGTTATCAAGGGTTACAAAAATGAAAATTTGTGGTGTCTGGTTTTCCAGTGGGTTAGTCAATGTCGATCCAGACAATTGGCTACCTAGGATTTCTAAGTTAGAGTCTAATATTAATTTGTGGAAGTGTCGTTCCTTATCCCTTGTTGGGAAAGTTCTTGTCATTGATATCCTCGGAGCAAGTAAATTTTGGTTCCTTGCTAAGGTTTTACCCACCCCGGAGTGGGTTATTTCACGAGTTAAGAAACTTGTTTTTCCTTTTCTGTGGGGGTCTAAGATAGAGGCCGTCAGTCGAAAGTCTCTATCTGTTGCGACCCACAAAGGTGGCCTAGGCCTTATTGATTTTATGTGTAAGAGCAAAGCCCTTTAGCTTTCAGCTCTAGTGAATACCATTGATAACCCAGACACTAAAGATTTTCTGTTAATGAAATATTTTATTGGTTCTCAACTAGCCAGAGTCAGGGTGGTCCACCATCCTAGGTTACCCCCTAGTCTTCCTACTCATTGGTCCCATATTCGTGATTCTTTGACTGAAAATTATAAGAATGATTTAGCTTGGCTTATTACTTTGAGAGCTGTAAAAGTGCGAGACTCCCTTAAATCTTGGGGATACTCCGACTCCTACCTCTGTGCCTCTTTTAATCGCAAAGAAACTATTGATCATTGTTTTCTGAACTGTTTTAGAGCTAAGAGGGTGTGGGCCACCTTAACCCCCATCCTTTCTAGTCTCCTCCCACAGCCTTTTGTAGTGAATTATCAATCTGTTTTCTTTTACTCACGGTTTAATGCAAGTGATAAGAACAATGCAATAGCACGCTACTTAGTTAAGACAGTCCTCTATGCCCTCTGGCATTTTCGTAATAAAGCTACTTTTCATAATGGCATTGAAGATCACCGGGCCATTATTAGATATATCTGTCATGACATTGCAACCCGATTACTCGTAGATTTTTCTAGACTTCCTGAGAGGAAATTTTTCTTTTTGTGGTGTCATGACTCCATTTGTGAAGTTACTAGGCAAAAGTTAACAATCAAGTTTTCTCTCTCATGAACCCAACAGCAACCAAATATACTCACATTTTTCTCTGTAAACCGAAAAGACAATTTTTCATGTTTTGTTCACCAGAAATGACACCTTATTGTAAACCGGAAGTATATATTTGTAAACCGGAAATGAAATAAAAGAAAAGAAGAAGCCTACAACACGGGGTATTCCCAGGCGGTCACCCATCCAAGTACTAACCCCGCCCGGCAGGGCTTAACTTCGGTGATCAGACGAGAACCGGTGTTCTCCCTGTGGTATGGCCGTAGGTGAGAGAAAGAGAGAAAATTTGACTTCTTATACCGAGTATGGTGAACATGTAAGTGAGGCATTACTTCATGACCCTCCTCAGGCAACCCTGACCTACAAAACAGGCTGTGAAGTCTCCCTTTGTAGCTGTAAATAAATTTATGCGGCCACTTACATGGAGCTTGGTGGGCTATAAAAACCCCTTAGGGCCTAGTTATCGGTCCCAGTCTGCCTTGTTTTCGTGTTCCCTGTCCTCCTATCGGTTAATGGCTGAGCTGTTAGGGCCTGGGTACCGTGTAGACGCTATTTGATCCCTGTCTATACACACTGTAGTGTCCTGAAGAGCTTGGCTGAGTATCTGTGCTCGGACTGAGCCAATGATATCTCCCTGTCCTTGCATAGAGTGCCAGATGCATCATGGGATGCGACAGTATTGCAACCACCATATCTAGGATGGGGAAGTAGCCAACCACCCTAGGTCCGGAGGACCAAAAGGGGCATCGCTTCTCGGCCTTTTAGCTAAGATCAGTGTTACTGTTTCTTACGCCTTCAGGATTGTAGTTTTCAAAGAGTTGTAGTGTTTTGTTTTTAAAAGGGCTTGCCGTCTCAAAAATCTTTTCTCGTTTTTAAGCGATTGTCGAGTGTTTCCTCGCGAGGAGCACGTGCATACGAGTTTACGACAGCTATTAATGCTGGGAACGAGCCTTATCCCAGCGCAGTTGTTGTTGATCATTCAAGTGAAGATGTAGTCTCTGTTGATCGCGGGGCTGAGGGCCCCGTTTTACCTGTTCGTTTCAACCAAATTGTTGCTGGAGAAGTTGGGGGAGATGTTGCAAGACCTGAAGATGAGCACCGTTTACCTGGGAGACCGTTAACAGCCTTTTTTTCGCCGCAAGTCCGTTTGCTCTCGTGTGATGTGTTGTCCGCCTTACAAAAAGCTGGCCTCGACGGGTCAAGTGTTACATGTATTCAACGTAAAGCCAGTGGCGAAATTTTGTTACTCTTTCGAAAAGCTGACCTCAAAGAACGTTTTGTTTGTTTCAGTGTCCTCAAAGTCAACGGTGCTCCTTATGCTATTCAAGATGGTGATCACCCGCTCACGTTCGTACAAATTTTTGACGCGCCACATGAACTGCCCGACTCAGCGATAATTCAACGCGTCGCAGATTACTGTAAAGTTGTCACCTACCGACGTAGTTTTTTTTGCGACCCTGGATGGGAAAACGTTCAGGATGGGAGCCGTCACTATCATGTTTGCATGAAAAAGCCCATTCCTAGCTATATGGGCTTTGGTAACACGTTTATTCAGTTTCGTTATGTTGGACAGCCTAAAACGTGCCGCCATTGTCATTCAGCTTCGCATTTTGCCAACGCCTGTCATACCATCATTTGCTTTAACTGCAAAAAAAGCGGACATCTAGCTAGCGATTGTCCTGCTCCCGTTGCCTGTAATATCTGAAAAGCCACAAACCATCTGGCTCGGAAATGTCCTTTTCCTTGTACCACCATCTCTGAAATTCGTCCTGTCAACGACGTAGACAACACGCGGCCTGTTCCTTCGACTAACACGCCTACGGACAACAATGATTCTTTGGCAATTTCTCAGTTATCTGTTGGACCCGACTACTCACCAGCTCGACCAAATGGAAAATGATGCTACTATTACTCTGGACGAACATCAACCGACTAACGAAGAACTTTCTACCGCCTCTGAAGATGAAGATGATGATGAAAATGTCCAGGATTCTGCCGAACTTTTTGAACAGAGTACAGACAATATTTCAGCTACTCCCACACCTAACCCTGCTTTATCTAATGGCCGCAAACTCGCTAAGCACATCGACAGTTCAGCAGCGACAAGGATCGCTACTCAACCTCAACTCATTACTGGCAAAGGACGTGAACTTTCAGACGAATCCGACGAAAACACTACTCTAGCTAAACGCAATCGTTCTGGGGTTCGGACAAACAAACACAAGAAACACTGTCCAAAGAAATCTTAATGGACCTGGTATGTTTTGTTTTCTTTAAATACTGTTATTTGCCAGAGTTCTCTTTTTCCTTTTCCGTATAATTCAGACTAAATTTATCTACTTTAAATGTCCGAGGTTTTGGTGCTGACAGTAAGGAGCAATTTATTTTTGACTTCGATCATAATTCTCACGCTGAGTTTGTTTTTTTGCAAGAAACGCTTGCGTCAAATCCTGATGTGATTAAAAATTTGCGATCTAAGTGGCGAGGCCCTTGTTTTTGGTCTCCTGCAGTTGGGAAACAGGGCGGTGTGGCCCTTTTCGTTAGAGAAAATTCGTGTTTTGAGGTTAAACAGTGGAAAAAGAATTCTCTGGCAGAATTGTTCTCGCGTTAGCGACACTAATCTGTGTGAAGGAAAGATTTTTTTCGATAGTCTCCGGCATTTTTTCTTTCCTCATTCTTTGAAAATTATTGGCGGTGATTTTAATTGTTTTGAAAGCGAATTTGATAAATTTCAGGGGAATATTTGTATCTCAAGCGATCTACGTGATTTCAGAACTTTGCATCGTTGGATTGACATCTGACGAAAAGCACATGGTCGCAATTCGGTGCACTTGGTTTAATTTGGATAAATCGGTCGGTAGTCGTCTGGATAATTTATCCATTCCTCCCTATCCCCTCATGCAATTAAATGTGAAATTCTCCCTTGTGTTTTTTCTGATGATTCAGTCCACCTTGAATTAAATTTAGACAATGTGTATTCTCACGGCCCTGGCGTTTGGCGGCTAAATTTAGATCTCAGCGATAAGGATTTTTGTGCTGTTATTGTTGATGTAATTGAAGAGGGTGAAAAACCGAGTAAATATTTTTTTCGACTTGAATCGAACTGTATTGAGAAGAGTTTAGTCAACTCGCACGGTGTTGAAGTTTTTTCTCAACCAGAGATTAAACAAGCCCACTTTAATTTCTATCGCAGTCTTTATAGTAAAGAACCTGTACATCTTTCGCTTCAGCAAACTCTTCTTTTGACTTGGATGTTTCTTTAAGTGAAGAAGATATTGAGTCCTGTGAGAAAAAAATTTGTCAGAAATTACCAAGGCCTTAAACGGCTTTGCAGCGGGGAAAACCCCCGGTCCTGATGGCTTACCAAAAGAATTTTACGCTAAATTTTGGGAAATCCTAGGTCCTCATTTGCTAGACCTGAATAATTTTAGTTTTCCCGTTTTTCCGAATCCATGCAGTCTAGTATCACCAGATTAATTTATAAGAAAGGTGAGAGAAAATCTCTCAAAAATTGGCTCCTATTTCTTTATTGAATATTGACTACAAAATTGCCTCTAAAGCTCTTGCTAATAGATTATTGAAAGTTCTCCCTTGTATTCTTTATAGTGATCAAACTTGTTCAGTCCCTGGCCGTACTATTTTTGAGAATTTTTTTTGTTAGGAGACACGTTAGACCATATTGAGAGCACTAATGAGACCGGCATTTTAGTTAGTTCAGACCAAGAGAAAGCTTTTGACCGCCTAGATCGTTCATTTCTTATGAACGTTCTACATCGTTTCGGATTTGGGCCTGATTTTCGACAATGGATTGATACTCTCTATAGTAATGCTTCCATGAAAGTGATTGTTAATGGCTACCTCACTGAGTCCATCCCGCTTGAATGCGGTGTGAGACAAGGTGATTCACTTTCCCTGCGTTTGTATATTTTATGCGCTGAGGTCATTGCCAACTCTATTCGTCGAGACCCAGGTATACGAGGTTTCCACCTCACCGGAGCCCGCAAGAGTTTTAAGATAAGACAGTATGCGGATGACTCTACCTGTTTTGTTAAAGACACTCTAGCCCTGAGTCGCTTGTTCCAAGTGGTGGATAGATATGAATTGGCCACGGGGGCGAAACTTAATCTTTCTAAGACGGAAGCCATGTGGCTAGGCTCATGGGGTACCAGGTCAGACGCTCCCTTTGGTCTAGCCTGGGTAAACAAAATTAAGATCTGTGGTATTTGGTATTCAAATGGGACCCTCAATGTAGACCAGGATAATTGGGAAACTCGGTTCGAAAAACTCGAGTCCAAGCTCAACTCTTGGAAACCTCGTTCCCTTTCCTTTGTTGGCAAAGCACTCATTGTTAATGTTCTAGGAGCCAGTAAGCTTTGGTTTCTGGCCAAGGTTTTACCCCTTCCTAAATGGGTGGTCTCTCGATATAACAAGCTAGTGTACCCCTTTGTGTGGGGCTCTAAGATCGAAACTGTCAGTCGTAAGTCCTTGACCCTCCCTTTTGCGGAAGGGGGTTTAGCTCTTGTTGATTTAGTTACTAAATGTAAAGCTTTGAAAGTAGCAACCACTCTCTCTATTGCTGCAAATCCAGATACTAATGACCACTATCTTTTGAAATATTTTATTGGCTCTCAGCTAGCTTGCCTGGGGACGGAGTGGTCCCACCTGCGGGATAACTCCACCCCTAGTGCTTTGACCCGGACTTAGTTCTACGACTGCATATTACATGCTATTACTGACCTTAATGCCCAAGTAAATAACCAGACTGCCTTCACGTATAGCTGTAAAGAATGTTATGAAGCTTTTTTTAAGACTGAGGTGACTTGCCCCAGACTACATTGGGGCTGGTCATCCTATGTAAGTTCTGATTTTTGTCTCAGCCAACACTGGCTAGGGGTTCGTGACCAGCTTACCGAGAATTTCAAGAATGACCCCCTATGGTTGATCACCCTGAGGGGAGTCAAAGTCTGGGACTCCCTTCATTCCTGGGGTTACATCAACTCGGATTCTTGTGCTGTATGTCACCATAAGGAAACTATAGATCATTGTTTTCTGAATTGTCATAGAGTTAAGAGAGTCTGGGCTGCTTTTGGCCCTGCCCTGTCATCTTTATTAGCGACTTCCTTTAGATCTAAGGCGAAGACAGTCTACTTCTTTCAGTGGACAGCGACTAGCGATAAGAATACAGCAACTGCGCGTTATCTCATTAAGTCCATCTTGTATGGAATATGGGTTTTTAGAAATAAGAGTACTTTTCACAATGGCACCAAAAACTATCGGGCCATTGCTCATTACATCCGTCATGACATTGCAACGCATCTCCACGTTGATTTTTCTCGAATGACTGAACATTCTTTTCTTGCCTTGTGGTGTCATGACAACATATGTGAGGTATCCAATGAGAGGCTAATAATAACTCTCTAATCCCAACTTCTCCAGCAACTCTCGATTAACTTGTAAACTTGGCTACGACTATGTGATGAACTTTTATAAATCACAACATTGCTTTAATTGTGAGCAGCCTGGTCACCGCTTGGAGGACTGTCCTCTGTCGCGCTAACGTCGTGTTTGTTTGGCCGATACTCACTCAACTTCGCAGTGTCCTTTTGTCTATTATAGTTCAAATGTCCTTTCTGTTAAGGTCACCGCTTCAAGTTATGTACAAGCTGCAGAGAGAGGTAAGCAAGCGGAGGAAACGAGGCGTCAACAAGCCAGGGAAGAGGAACGTGTTCAGCGCGAAGAGCAAGGAGCGTGAGAGGAAAGAGAAGGAACGCGCGGAACGAATGGAGAGGGAGCGCGAGGAGCGAAAGAAGTTGGAACGTAAGGAGAAGGAACGCAGAGAGAAAGAACGTATAGACCAGGAGCGCCAGGAGAAGCCAGAAAGGAGGGATCGTGAAAGAAAGGATAGACATCACCGACGAAGAGAGGAGGACTGCGCTGACAGTACAGTTAATTGTTTTTTTTTCTTTTATTTTTGGGGGCCTGTCCTAAGTACTCGCCGGGAGGGAACGGCGTGGCCCCCACCCCAAATTTATAGTGGAGCGATTTTGTGGTGTACTCTAGTTTTGCTCCTACAATGGCTGATTCGTTGAGTTCGTTAAATGTCGATGATGTTTCTTAGGGAGATCAAGTTGAACTATCTGATGTTTCTGTCAATGATGTCGCTGCGGCTGCTGCTGATGCTGTTCCTGTGAATGCTGTTCCCGTGAATGCTGCTGATGATATTCCTGTGAATAAGGCTGATCCTGTGAATGATGTAAGAGTTAATCCTGCTGGTTCTGTGAACGATGTAGGATTTAATCCTGATGATGTTAATGCTGTTGCTAATGCTGTTCAAGATGCTGATGTTCCTGCAAATCCTGAGGGTGGAAATGCTGCTCGTGCAAAACCCAGTAAGAAGTTTAGCAAAGCTGGTATTTTGGTAAAGAATATTGCACAAGGTGTACTTGATTCTGCTGACGAGGATGAGAGAGAAGTCTATAAACGTTCCTTGAATATGTCTACTTTTGAGCGTGATAATTTTCATCCATTTAATGCTACGAGCGGTTGCGGAACTCTGCCCTTTTTGGACTAGATTCTCGCCCTTGTGGTAAGTGTTGCTATGTCTTCTAGGCGTGTGTGCTCCTGTGTGGATACCGACTCCTGGTTTTCATAATTTTTGTGGTTTTTGCTCACCTGGTAGCACGAGTGCCTTGGATACGGTTCTTCTGCTTGGTTGGCATCTGGGCTTCACTTCTGTAAGTTTTTGCCTTTTTGTTTTTGTGGTTGGGTTGCCCCCCAGTTCCACTTTTAGTGGGTCTTGGGTGGTCTCCCCGTCCCCTGTTGGGCGTTGCCCACCAGGGTTTATCCTCGTTTTTTGGTTCCTTTCTTTTGTGGTTGGGTCTCTTTTTTGGGTCACCCGCCTCGTTTTTTTTCCGCCTGTCAGGGCTTAACCCTGTTGGGTTTCTTTTTTCTTTTGCTTCTTCACTTTTCCACTTTTTTGTTCTTTTGGCTATCGCTTTGCGCGCTTTTCGTCGCACCGTTAGTTTGCATGTTTCTCAGCTGGCTGTAACTAATGACCGTAAGAAAGTCTACGAGCTTATCGTTAATCATTTTGCGTGTCATAAGATTCACACGGTGCAATTCGTAGGTATGGTTGCTAAGGTAACCTTTGCTGTTGAAGCCAGCAAGCAAGAGGTTATCAACCATCAGGCTATTAGAATTAGCGGTGTCCAGTGCGTGGTCCAGGGTGGTGGTCCTCGCGTGCAAAATGTGCTTATCTATAATTATCCTGTTGAGGGGTCTGAAGAGTCTATTTGTCGTATTTTGGGGGCTTATGGGGGTATTGAGAGAATTTCTTTCCATCATTGGACCCATTTGACTGACGTAAGTGATGGGGTGCATGTCGTGCGCATGATCCGCCGCCAGGTTATTCCGCGTAATTTGACTACTGATGAGGTTAATGTTAAAGTTGTTTATGCTGGTCAGCAGCAATTATGTGACCGGTGCCAAGTGCCTGGCCCCATTGCGCGAGCTTGTCCCTTTCGTGATAAGTGCTTTCAATGTGGGCTTGAGGACCATTTCTCACGAGACTGCCCTCAAAGGATTGGCTATCGTGACCGTGATGCTGTGTCAGATGCACCAGGCCCCACCCCTGCGGAGGCTGCCGGTTGTTCTGCTGCCAGGTATAATCCACCTGTGATTGATGCTGTGCTCCATGCTGATGCCGACTCCTTGGATGGGGTGTCTGTATCTTCTGCTGTAGTTGCTTCTGCTGGTCCTGTCTCAGTCTCCTAACCAGATGCTGACCTTGATTCTGAGTCTGATCCTGACCTCACCCCCTTCTGTGGGTCTCACTCCGTCTGGTTTGTCGTCTATGGACTGCCGTCATAACCAACTCGATGAGTTAAGCAGCTATCCCCTTTTCACCCCTCCTGCTTCGTCTGTTGCAGACCCTGATTCTCTGCAGGGGGCGACCATTGAATCGGCCTGTCCTGACTCTCCCGCTTCCCCACCCTCCCCTGGCCAGGGCTTCCTTCATAGCGCGTCTAATCTTGGGTTGTTAGATAAATTTAAGTCAAGGGTTGGTCTTAATAAAAAGAAAGTTAATTGTAGTTATGGTAATAGTTCTAGCAGCAATAATAATATTAGTGACATTAGTAATAGCAATGGTAATATCAATAAGAATGGACATACACATGGTACAAAGATACATAGTGATAATGGAAAGTTACATAATAGTAATGAAACTGATATTAATGACAATGTTGAGTATATTGGCCAGGGTGTTCTCGCTGGTTGGGAAAATATCAGCGAGATGGAATTGGCGGTAGATTCACAAAAACGGTCACACCCTGATTCCGATACTGTTGATTTGGTTGACAGTAATACTTTTGCTGTGCCTGATGTGCCCACCCCCTCGCCCTTCTAAAAAGAAGCCGACTGTTGTTGTGTCCCGGGCACTTCTAGGCCCGTCGCTGTTGAGCATGGCTCTGTCAAAATTCCAATTAAACACGAATGGTATCACAAACTCTGATAAACGTGCAGGTCTCTTACAGTGGTTGCAGTCTCTTTCTGTGGTCTCTGATGTTGTGTGCCTCCAGGAGATATATTGTGTGAGTAGTGCTGAGTGTCTGTCTTGGTTTCGTTCTTCTGCTTTTCAATCTGTTGTGTCTCCTGGTTCTCAGAAGTCATGTTGCTGTGTTATTCTCTTTCGCCCTTGTTTTTCCCGTCTCATTCTCGTCGGATGAGACCCGTCTGCGTTGCGTTTTGCGTTGTGTGAGTTTCGCTTTCAGGACAAATTGTTTTGTGTTGTCTCTTTGTATGCACCCAATCGTAACCCTGCAAGAGACCAGTTTCTTGATCAGGTTTCTTCTTGGGTCGACCCAGCAGTGCCCACTGTCATATGTGGCGATTTCAACACGGTTCTTGATAGTTTGCTTGACCGTACTGGGTCTGTAGTTTCTGATACCTCCAGAGAGAGTACTTCTATCCTCTCTCGTCTGTTTGATGATTGTTGCGTCATTGATATCTGGCGGTATTTGCATCCCTCCTCCTTAGGTTATACCTCGATGCATACGGATGGCTCTGTCTTCTCTCGTATTGATCTCGTTGGTTGTCCTTATGTGTGGGTGCCCTCCGTCTCGTCGTGTGAAATTGTTCCATGCCCCTTCTCTGACCATTGTGCTCTCGTTTTGTGTGTCACTGTTCCGGATGTTGTCCCCGTGGGTCCTAGGTTGTGCAAACTGAACGCCTCTATCCTGGACAAGTTGGATTATGTCCGTCAAATTGAAGATCTTTAATCCTGCTGGCCTGACCAGAAGGAGCGTTTCCCCTCCTTTGCTAAGTGGTGGGGGGCGGACAAGTCCCGCATTAAGGGCCTCTCTATTAATTACTGGTGTGCTAAGTCATCGGACAATGCTTTGAAGAGAGACCTTCTTTCTAGGCTTGCTTCGCACCTTAAAGAACGCGTTGATAGTCGTATTTTATCTCTGGTGGGGCCGTACCAGTCCATACTACAGCAGCTGCTTTGGACGTGGAGGTCGCGAAGGGGTTCCAAATTCGTGCGTGGGCAGACTGGATTGAGGAGGGCGAATCCTTCAGCTCTTACTTCTTCCACCTCGAAAAGAAGCATAGGACCGACCATTGGATTGCCGCTGTGCAGAACGATGATGGTCAGATTGTAGCGTCTCCTGAGGGTCTTTGTTTATCGTTCTCTGCCTTCTATTCGTCTCTCTTTACTGCCGAGCCTACAGATGCTAATGCACAGGAGTCCCCTCTTAGCAAAATTGAGTCCTTGCTGCCCGTCCAGTCGGAGTCTTGCGATGGTTTGTCGGTCCTGGAATGTCTCGAAGCATTGTCTGGTATGGCTAAGCGCAAGGCTCCGGCCTTGCACGGTCTCCCAGCTGAGTTTTATCTCAAATTTTGGCATGTGCTTGGGCAGGATCTTGTTGATGTCCTTAATTCTTGTTATGCTGCTGCATCCTTGACCCTCTCTCAACATCGGGGGATTATTTCTTTGTCTTTCAAAAAGGGTGACCAATTAGATATGCGGAACTGGTGTCCCATATCTCTTTTGAATGTTGACTATAAACTTGCTGCGCGGGCTATTGCTGCTAGACTGCTGAAAGTCATCCATCTGGTGGTTGCTGAGGAGCAGACCTGTGGAGTCCCAGGAAGATGTATTGGGGAGAATGTTACCTTTCTCCGCGATGTGGTTTCCTATGCCACCATGTTTGACTCCCCAGTTGCAATCTTGTCTTTGGATCAGGAAAAGGCCTTTGATAGAGTGGATTGGTCCTTTATGTATGCCACTCTCGGTAAAATAGGGTTTGGCACTTCCGTTCTCCAGTGGGTCAACCTGTTTTATACTGGCGTTCAAAGTTCCGTTAATGTAAATGGTCATCTGTCTCCTTTCCTTTCTTTGTCTCGTGGCGTCCGTCAGGGCTGCCCTTTGTCTCCTCTTCTTGTTGCTGAAGTGCTCGCGTGTAACATTCGTGCCAATCCACGCATCAAAGGCCTTTGTCTCCCCGAATCATCTGACCCTTTATCACCAATTTCTCAGTATGCTGATGACACATCGCTGGTCGTGTGTTCTGATGATGCCATTCGTGCTTGTTTTAATGTCTATGAGGTGTATGAGCGAGGTTCTGGCTTCAGGCTTAATCTCTCCAAGGCCAAAGGTCTTTGGCTTGGGCCTTGGGCCAATTGTTCTGACCCGCCGGTTGGCCTTGAGTGGTCATCAGTAAAAATTTAGGTCCTTGGGGTTTTCTTAGGCCCTGGTGATCTCGACGAAGACAATTGGAAGCCTTGCATTGCGGCAGTAGAGAACCATCCCCAGTCAAACTGAAAGGCAAAGAACGCCATTAAAATCTGCAAAAATCTGTTAAAGAAAGCCCAAGCAGACAACAGAGATCCATTGCTAGCTTTCTTGAACTGGAGAAACGCGCCCACAGAGGGTCTAGGAACCTTGCCCGTCCAGCGTCTTATGGGTAGAAGAACAAGAACACTCCTGCCAACACATACCAAACTCCTGAAGCCACAGTTAGACTCCGAAACAGAAGCAAAGTTGGCGCAGCGCAAACAGAAACAAGAACTGCAGTACAACAAGAAAAGTCAACTGCTACCTAACTCCCTTGTGACAAAATTGTCTCTGGTAGCTGTGTCAAGGCACTACCTAACCGCTCTTAGGAACTGGAAGTCACAGGTCGCCGTTATCATCGCAACAGGTGCTAACTAAGGACAACGGCCGAAGCACTTCCACACACTTCACTTGAAGATTTTCCTAACAATGATGCCGATGTAACATCTCCCGTTAACAGCCAAGAAACAACACAGTCCACTCGTTGTCGAGAAGATACCTCAGGTGTGACTCCCGAACCAGTCACTCAACCACGTTGTTCAACCCCGTGTAAGGAAACTGCCAGCTTCGCACGACGATTACCTGATGAACTATTAAGAAAAAGATGTCACAATATCCGATCTATGACATTTTAATATCGGACTTGACAGTAAATCAAGATAGGGACTCGTGTGATGTAATCTAATAATAGTAGAATCATCGCCTTAGTTTACAATCGACTGACTTCGCTTGCCGTAGGTTTCTTGGGACATTCTTCTAGGACTTCAACTTCATCTGTTTCTTCGTCCTCTTCCATTGCCTCCTGATCACTACTGAATTCTGCCAGAATCTCTTCGTCTGTCAACGAACCCGACTCCTAGGTGGATATGGCGTCATCGATGCCGATTACATCGTCTGCGTTAACATTCGCGGGTACAGCTTCAGGATAGGCTTCTCTTAAAGACTGTATTTCCTCGCTTAGGACTGCAAAGGGGTTGTCCAGATCATTAATGGCAATTGTCTGTGCCTCACTGCAAATACCTGCCTTTTTGAAGCAATTCTTGATTGTTTCAGGCGTTACTTTGTTCCATGCCCTTGTTAAGATCGTCATGGCATCCAAAACAGAAATATTTGGAGCACCCTTCCCCTTCTCTACTGCATCAATATACCTTCTCACCACAGACGCACGGTAATATGCCTTCGTTGCCTTTATGACACCTTGGTCCATAGGTTGGGTCTTGCATGTAGTGTTTGGTGGTAAAAACACTAAATTTATGGCCCTGAGGTCTGCAACATC